TATTTTCGAGGCACTTCACGTGAGAAGTCTACATGCAGTGATCGCCTAGTGAAATGTACCACCTGCATGCGGGACGGGGTAAAATATTGTGATCTGCCTATTCTGGGTTAGCTCCTGAGCTGATCACACTCATGCCAAAGCGCTGTGTGCACTATAGAACTCAAATGCATTTTTTGCTAAGTTACTTTAACGCGTCTTCCTTAATTCCATAGTTGTAGGTATAAAAAAGATCTGTAGGGTAAGTTTGTCATGCGTATTTTCCGCTGCAATTTTCTGTGTACCTGATTTCTAATACATTTTTTACCATGTCCACGTCTATTACTAACTATACTCGAGAAACCTCTGAAAGCATCCCATATGCTAAATATTTCAATTTTTTCCCATGTGAGAAGTGGGCACTCGATCATTATGTAGCCTTGATTACTGATAACTATAAGTTCGCTGAGAAGAAAGAGGCACATCGTACTTTTTATATTACCTTACATAAAATTAATGATGATCTTTGCATGCCCCAAGAAGTTCGTGACATTGCTCAAAATCTTATAGAGAATAGTAAGGTAAGCATATTTAATTTGTTTTGATGGGGCATATAGCCAGATGCTTGTACCTATTACTACGCCCTAGTAGGAGTCCTGCAAGTATTGAAATGGATGCGTTTATTACCACGCCCTAGTAAACATCATGGAATATATCATGATATTTTTTAGTAAAGATCTGCTGGTTCCGAAGAAGAATTTGGATATGCACCTTTACATTAATAAAATTATTATTGATATATCTCTGCATTCGCCATCAAACCCTATTTTTATTTGATTATGCTTGCTAGGAAATATTATTCTATTTCTCATTTGGTTTGCTTTCTATAGGCCGATACAGAGAAAGTAAATAGCTTATGGAGGAAAGCTAGCAAAGCAAGGAAGACATCGCCACCACCGGTAAGATCATCATCACCAGCATCATCGCCAGCACCATCCTCATCTATTTTAGGGAAGAGGCAGAGGGATCTGGCCACAATAGACGCTCCTACAAAGAAGCAGTGTGTAGTTCCAGAAACAAGTTGGTTCTGCCCTGATATGAACATGCCTTTGCAGGCCAACGGGGGAGTAAACACTCTGGAAATAATTAAATCCGCTGTCCGTGTATTTGACCAAAAGACGATAGCCTTAGGCTCTACCTGCTCCTATAAATGTTCGAACCATTTGCAAGTAGAGTCCAAGTACGATGAATGCATCCCAAGAGAGAGTGTTTACGATGCAGAGATGTATAGAATCCTGCACAATTGGCTTGCAAAGGTGCATGGCTTCAAAATAACTGGCCAGTAGCATCTCGAAGGGATTGGCAGTGATGGAGACTGGCACCACCTTTTTTGTGACCTGACGATAAAGAAACCGGACAATCCCTACCCTGAAGCTGTCCTTGAAGTCGTAGCAACAGGATCCATTTCCACACTCAAGAAACATTTCGATCGAGTAATAAAGTATACCGACCAGCTTTGTCCTGAGGAAGTTTGGATCGTGCATTTTTCTAGAGAGGATTCCATTGTATCTGACCCATACTGGCCGAGCGAAAAGCTTCAGGATAGGGGATTAAATGTCATTCACTTCTGGCATGATGAGGGTTTTGAGGACATACGAATGAGCGCCAGATTTCGGGATGCCACTGGCAAGTTCTGTGAAATTATAGACGAGCCAATCCTTCTATAGATTATTTGTGCATAATAAAGCTGACCAATAGGGTCAATTTTGCATACATAAACAAGTTTATTTTTGCATGTGTATTTCGTGAATTTATTTATTGTATTGATATCGACGTTTATGTTATATATTATTAAGAATTTTTCTTAGTAAAAGTGATCGGGTTGAATCATGGTCAATCAAGGCTCATCAAAATAGTGATTTTTATATAATTATATGAATCACACTGCGATCATGGCTCTATTATGGGTTAGATCATTGTTGATTAGCCACTCTGACTGCCTTCAATAATTATTTCGAAATCAAAATTTTCAGAGAAATTTTCGATCATTACTGAGGCTGAAAAAAATAGGTGGACCATGGGATGTTTTCGTGGGGATTTGGAAAGAGATATACACTTTTATCATGGTGGAATAGAAAGAAAGGAAGATACTAGAAAATATCATAAATTTTTAACAGATCGGGAAAGGCTGATCGGTAAAGAATTATTATACCGTGATATACTAAAAAGTGGATTAAATACTGCATAGCTTGTTGATCTAATAAAAGAATGAGAAGAAATCTATACTCAATTCATACAAATTTTTAGCCAGGAATAACAGGTACAAAATGCCTTACTTTATAGAAAATAAATCATATTCCGCCATTATATTACGATTTCGATCATGAAAATAAAAGTACATTCATAAATTTTTGTTTCATAACACATCATGGCTATATCTCTATTTATACACATTTAAATCTTGACTAATTTTTCTACCCATTCACACAATCACGTTAAAATAAAATTTGGTAAGGGGTGGGGGACCCCCTTCTTTATTTAATATTTTTTTGCTGGAATGACAATATACATATAAAAAATATATTGCTATTATAAGTGCGAATACAAATAAAAAAAAA